TTATATCAAGATATCGAAATTCCTAATCAGTTATAGATATTATTATTATTTATATGATATATTTTTTATTACTTGTCAAAATTTTTAGAAAATGTTGCATAATGACTAGACATAAAAATTATTTTAATTGTAATTATAAATAAATTTTATATGAGAACCATGTGCATAACGATAAATAAGCAAATAATAGCACATATAAATAATAAATATAGATAAATATATAGTATAAGATATATAGTATAGCAAATAATTTTTATCTGGAAAACTAATGTTATATTTAGAATGAAAGATTAATTGAAAAACTACTTTCATTTTTATTCGTTCTAAAATATATTTTATACTATATATTTCACAGAACATTTCATAACCGTTAATTTATTTTTATCAGAATTTCTTAATTATAATTTTATCGTAATTTTGACTATAAACTTTTTCTCGCATAGTGCCAAGAAAGTATCAGCGACGAAATAGGTGATATATGATGACAGTTATGTAAAATTCGATTTTTCATTTTTCGAAGATGAACTCAAACTTGGAGAATGCAAATAGCGTTATCGCGACTTTTGGTTCGAAAACAGACGAGAATTGGCAAATAATAACTTCTTTCATTTCTCTGGTTTGTTGGCTCCATCATCATATTGAGCCATGCTATTCTCGAGTTTGCTCAAGTGGCGATGAAGAATCAACGGATAGACGAGCGAGAAATCGATAACAGGTTCGTTAAATGTATGAAAATAAATGTATGAAAATAGTACGTCTGTTTTGTGTTTGTCAGAAAGAATAATATTAATATCGATGAAGAGATTTCGAAGTTTAAATTGTTAACATTTTAATATAACGAACATAACATAAAAAATTGACAAAGAATTTTTAGCACAACTTTCAGATTACTAGGAATAAAAAAAATAAAAGATAAGAAAAGTTGTTACATTTAGAAGATTACGAGAAATATTTGTTTTAAAAATAGAACAGTTTTGAAAAAATATTACAAAATTTACTTGCAAATATACAAGCCAGTAATGTTGACTATTAATGTTGTCCGAGCAAAGAACTTGCATTTTATATTTTCAAGGTGAGATTCTTACACATGTTAAAAATTAATTCTTATATAGAGATATTACTTATCGACGATATTTTTTCTTGATTTGCAGACTTCTGATGATAAGCTTGCGAGCACGTTGCATAATTAATTAATGGATTGCATTAGTTAATCACAATGACTAGTCAGGAACAGGTACAACGGGAGGTGTAAACGAGGATAATTGTGTCTCATTTAACGTCATCGTGCTTTTGTAGCGGGCCACCCTACGTATAAAATTGGTTGGAATCGATCTTAAGAGCTCTGCCCGAGTGCCGGAGGGATGCTCGGAAACGGGGAACGACTTGACCTTGGCTGGATTCACGCGTAGCTGAGCTAACGCAAAATCGAAACGCGTTACTTCCACCGCGTGGATCTCCTAAAGCCGGGTTCACATCGTGACCTGCAGCAGCGGCTCTCTTCGGGATTCTGGAATACCCATGAACGCGAATGCGCGCGCAAATCCGCATCCGGAATGTCTCAGAGTACAGAAAGTTGTTCAATTTTTGTAAGTACATTTTCATACACAAATACAAATTAAACATAATAAATATATAGTAATTTTATAACTAAGCATGACATTCAGTGAATAGATTATGTAAATATCAAATTATTTATCAAATATGACACATTTTATTATAAAAATCCAATTAATTAATTAATTTAAATATTTTATCTCAAAGATTTCATCAGCTTAATTTTAAATTTAATTTTTTATCTCTTTACGGAAGATTGAAATTGGATGAAAGATGAGAGAAAAATTAAAAGTTTAATTGACGATGTAAAAGTGTTAATAAAATAGAAATCAATAATATTTTAATATAAAAATCTTATTGCGTCTTTATATAAAATTTATCTATTTATATATCTCATTATATATTTCTTGAAACTACGTATTGAGTATTTTCATCAAACTTCATCACATTTAAAATATGTCACTTGTATTTAGCGATTATTTGTCTTCTTCAAAGAGTCTGCTTTTTAAAATTAACAAAGAGACTAATAACGAGATATTTATAGAGAATTTGCGTACTTTGATTGCTGAAATTTTGTTAAGCATCTGTTTCCATTTCGCAGCTGTTATCTTAACTTCAAGTTTTCGTGAAGTGCGAAGATAACTTGAGCAAACTTCTCTGACTTTCTTACATCGCACCACAGTTGACCTTCGTGACTCGTTCGAATTTATTTGATCGTAATGACGTCTTACACGGCTGTGAGCTTGTTTTAACTTACAACTTTTTAATTGGTAGTATATACTTCTCGTAAAATCGAGAAACTCGTAAACGCGTCTATTACTTTTACTAGCTACTATTCCTGTAAAGAATGCTAATAGAATGAGATCAATGTTCTTTTAAAGAATAACGCATTTTGCGAACGATTTCGTTGAATGGTGCAATAATCGATCGTTGCAAATCTTTCAGTTATAATCGCCGTTTTTAAAACTCGAGACACAATAAAGTGTAACAATAAGATTTAATAAGAAAAAGGAATAATCGAAAAAATTAAATTTCAAAATGCAAAAGTTCTATCTTGTAGCATAGTAAATAAAATTACATATTAGATTTCTTAGTTTAATATTGTATATCATGCTAAGAAATAAAACAAGACATCAATAGCACAAATATTAAAAATATTTAAGTTTCTTATATCAAATTTTATATAAATATTAAAAAAATTATTTTCTCTCTTTCAAATGATAAATCAAATGAAGATTATTTATTTTTATTTGTCATATTTACTTGTTGACCGATTCTTAATTATAGAAGCACATAATTTAACTTGCAACGTAATAATATTGCAATGTTTTGATTTCGTTTATGTTTGTCGGGATATTTTCTTCGATAAATCAACGTAAAATCACTTGCTCCATTTTGTTCGTAAATATATCGTTTCGAAAGGGAAATAAAAGGGAATAAAAGTCCAGATTTTCATGTTGCCAAGATGCATCGCGCCGCTTTATTTTCGTATTCATTGGAATTTCTTATTCCTTTGGAATTATTATAGCGCTATAATAACACTTCTGAAATCTGGTCTCGCATCGCTTTTACGAAAGGAATGACTAGTGTCTTACTTCTTATCGCTTGTGTCTCTTATTTTCTCATCACGAGATATGTTCCGTGTGAAACGAGCTTTCGAAGCCGTCGTTGACGCACCGCGTCGACAAGGGTAGATGCATTCACGTCTACCCCCTCGTTCCGTACCGTCCTGCGAGAAAGATTGTAGGGGCATACTATACCGGAGTACAGAGAGAGGGTGAATCACCCCCCGCGCGCGCGTATGACGTACTCTGGCGTGCATAACACCCACGGTTGGACGATCCACGCGTGACTAGATACCGCTTTGCACGCATAAGGGACACAAACGCCAATTATATTTTAATATTCCTCCGCGAGACGCACCCCTGAAAGAGGAGCGACGTGAAATTCCGATGGCGTGACATTCGTGTTTCCCTCGTTTCTCCGTCTCTGGCTCGGAAAAATTGTTGAAAGTTCGAAAAAATGTTTAAGAAGTTAGAAAAATGAAAAAAATAAAAATGCTCGAAAAATTCTTTGTACATAATTTGTTAATTTGTGCTTTGTAGGAATTGGATATATAAAGAAAAGTTGGATAGAGGAATAAAAAAATTATTCACGAATTTTTAAATTTTAATAGCATATGATGTTTGTAATTTTTTACTTTTTTCCTGCAATTTGTCGAAATTCTTATTTTCTCTAAATCAATAAAAATACAATAATTTTGAATAATCGTTGAAATTTTTGTTTCGCGGCATTCAGTAAATCTAATTATAAGACTAAAAACAATTCGAAAAAAACAATATAATACTGAAAAGACAGTTCCACTAATGAGCAGGTATACGTAGCATTCTAAAAAATGAATTATTACTGATGTGATAAAAGGTAGACAAATACTAAAAATATTTTAAACATATGATTTTTTTTTGAATATTAATAAGGCTTGCTCGAAGAACATTTATTTTTGAAAATGTCGTACAAGTCATTTATATACACTGTCAATGTGAGATTAAACAACGCTTATTTTAAAGAATGTATCTTATTTAAATTTCTCGTTATTTTTATCCAAACTGTCAAGGTTGGTTGAAATATGTGTAAAGATAACGCATAATCTTATTTGCGTTCGTATGCGCGCGGAAATAATCATATATTCATAAATAGAAATGAAAAATATGTATGTCATAAGCAAAATCATTTTATTCAAATCACATCATGTATCGCTTGTATATAAAATTATCGATAAAATTATCGACATATTCAATATTGATCAGATTATATAAATATTCCTCGAAACATTGTTAAAGATATGTTAAATTTTTATTATATTTATTTTATTTTATTTTATTATATCGCGTGAACAGGAATGCTTCTCGTGTAAATCCTAATCGATTAAATCCAAGAGAAAATCGTTGGTTTACATCCTTACTAATAATCCTGCAGCAAGTTTCAAATACCTTATCGAACAATTCGAACGCCCCGATTACACCCTACAGATCAGTACAATTTTCAAGATTTCAATTAATCGACATTGCAATTAATCGGAAGATCGAAGGAGAGATAAAGAAATACCGGGAGAATGAAAGCAGAGACTGGGCAGACGGCATCGTCCTCGCGTAGCAGCGGTTCGTCTCCATCTGACGCGTTACCGCGCGCACCCTTTTCCCGTGGGGTGCAGTTGCGCGCACGTTGCCGCGCGTGCGCGCTGCACGCACGGCACGCACCCTCCGCGATGTACCTTCCGCACGGTTGAGCATCTCCACCATTCAGAATCGATGATGTCACGAAGCGGAGCCGGGATCCCCACCGTCTGTCGCGGTGCGCACGTAGAAAGGGAAGCTGCGCTCGCCGCCATTGGTCCAAGCGTCAAGTCGAACGTACCAACACGAGGCCGCGGCGGCGCGACCCAACGAGAGTCCGCGAGTCGGTGCGTGCCAGTCCGTGCGTGTGCTTTTACCTAATAATATTTCCACGGCCGGAGAGAGTTTCCACTCTCTCTCTCTTTCTCTCTTTCTCTCCTGTCTTCTCTTTCGTCCGAGATATACGCATCTCGCACCCTCTCTCTTCGCGTCCGTTTCTACTGTATATGTCTCTCTGTTTTTTTCTCTCTCTCTCTCTCTCTCGTAGGGTTAGGCGTCCTCGCGTAGAGGCTTTTCGCGTCGCGACCACCCTCCACCGCCCCGAACCCGACGGGGATTTCACGAAAGCGAGAGAGGAGAGGAATCACACGCTGCAGAGCAGCACGTGTGCTGCACTCGCGCGGATCGGCACAAGCGCGGTTGGTTCTAATCATATCGTTCTTTTCTTCGCACCGCGAACGCGAAGTTGATTCTCGCCCTCGCGAGAGACTGAACCGAGTTGCCAATATCCAAGATAAAATCCGGGAGGTTATCGTAACGCGCGCGACCAGCCGCGAAAGTGAGAGGGGTGTTTCGAAGCGAAACGATTTCGAAGGAGATAGATCGAGCCCCGCGAAAGTCGAATCCGTGTGTTCGATCCGGCGCGAGAGTGACATAACCACAACTCGCGGATCGCGCTCGGGAGACTGTGCTTGGTATATGCGGGGTGCGACGAAAAACGAGACCGGCCAAAGGATTCGCAGTGGTGCTTTTGCCGAACAGGGACATCGGAGGGAGGACGGACAGCGTCGGCCGTCGGTAGCTCTTGGTATGTAATCAGATGCTTGGTGGATTCCTTGTTTTCGTGTAAAAAGGCGCGGAAATGGAAGAGATGTAGTAGATGGAAAAAATCTCTCTCGATCAAAATGTACTTTAATCTAGTTTCCAAAATTGTTAATTAATCTCATAATTATGCGTTTCATTATTTTTTTTATTGTCGATTTGTCTTAATTTTAAGACGATCAAAAAGGAAGGAGAAAATTCCTTGTTTAAAATTGAAGCTTTTCTACATTACATCTCTACGTAGGTTACATCATGAAGTTGTACGATAAAAGATAAAAAAAATAAATCCTCGAATTTTTCAATTAATTATTGAATTTGGAAAATATTGTTATGGAAATCGATGTTATTTCAATTTATTTATTCTTCAGGTGCGTGTTTTTCGTTTTTTATCGCATAACATTTAATAAATATTTTCAATATTTACTTTGCGTTTGATATCTCATGTAATTTTTATTTAACTCGTTCGTTAACAAAAGATACATATATTCAATTTCAGCGAAATTGTATGAAAATATTTAATTTCTGTCTATATGTGAAAACGATTCTTTAATATTCTAGCATTTTTATAATTTCTTAAGAATATCGTTAGAGATAATAATTGATAATAATTGATATGACGATTGAATATATGATAATGTGTTCATCAATATGAATCATATTTCGGATATAAAGCAACGTAGGGGAATTAGTAACGCAAACGCTGTAAAAACAAATTAGTTTTGTAGAGTAAAAAAGTATGCACAGATTTTGTACAGAATTTTTACATCCTTATTTGCATATAATTAACTTAATGCGATGCATGTAGAATGCTCTAGTTTAATTTTATTATTTTATTTTTGAGGCTTGACACTTATATTGACATTCAACAAAGATGTAAATTATTACGATAATAATTTAATAAAAACCTACAATGATCAATTAATATATACATATTATAAAAATATACAGAAAAGTATCGTGTATTACAAATCTTTAAATGCAATAAAGCTTAATGTTTTGATCGCGGCGGATTCTCTTTATACGAGGTATTGAATATTCGAAATAATAAGATAGTGAATAAATAAAATATTTTACTTGGACACATTTACTTACATCTTTAGATACGAATACGCTCGACTAATTGAACATTGTTAATCGTTCATTGCGAGATAAAGACGCGCGCGCGCGAATTCCATTGATTCATACTGCTGATTAACACATTATCAAATGCAGATTTCCTGCACGTAGCGCATAATACAGCTTAAAGCATAGTATTCAACCCTCTCCTGCGAACTCGCTGTACTGGAGACGAGTGCGATTGAATAGCGCGTCGAATCTCTACATATATATATATATATATATATATATATATATATACATCTCTTTTCATCTTTCTCGCTTCCACTCGCCATTGTCATAGTATCTTTTCCTCTCTTTCTCTCTCCCTCTCTCTCTCCTTCTGCCTCTCTCTCTCCTTCTGCCTCTCTCTCTCTCTCTGCCTCTTTCTGTCACTTTCTCTCGCTCTTGCGCTGTCAGTCTGTCGCTTCGCCTGTCTCCCACAGTCACAGTATTATGGTGTAATTAGGCGATAGGCTTTATATGATTCGCCGTGTAAAATGCGACCGCGAATGAATGAGACAGTCTGAATGTCGAGCGTCACACAAGTGTAGACGCCCCCCGCGGTGATATCCGACACGCATTGTGAACGCTCCTTTCGCGACGACGCATTATGCGTCGGTTCCTCTAGTAGGTTCTTTGTGGCAGCGATTCTCTAATCGGGATAAATGTACGGTAGCAATACGGCATTGCTTGCTTGCAAACAACAATGTACGCGCGAAGTATCTATAAAGCACCAGCTCTTGACTAGTGTTTTATGCGAATTCCGTGAGGGAATAAAAAATGTCCATAAAAAAATGTTTTTTCTAGAATTTTAATTATTTTCATTTTTTTTTTATTTACAATTAAATTAAATTTATTTAAATTTTATACTCTTAATGTGATTTTATAATAAGGATATAAAATATATATATGGGATAATATTTTGTGGAAAGTTTTGGACGTAAAGTAATTTAAATTTATTTGAAAATTTATTTGAAAATTTGTTTTAAAATAAATTTATTTGAAAAATGAGAAAGAAAATGAAAAAAGATATTTAAAAAGGTATGGCCATGTAAATATGATTTAATAATAAATATTTAAAGATTCGAAGAGGAATATCTTGGTGCGAAAGATTCGGGAAGCTAAGCTACATTGATAAATGCGAAAGGCAATGACTGTAGAGAACGATTGGATAATTCGAAACAGAAAGTTCATAAATAATCCGAAACAAAATACTCATAAGCAGATGTAAATTGCTACACGAAAGAGCGGAAAATTGCTAACCTCCTTGTAGTACAGGATGCAATTGCATTGGATTGAATTGTATTATGTTTCGAAGGAAGCCTTCCGTAAGATCTATAACCGTTTAACGCCTCGTTAACTGTTCATTATTAACGTGCCGTTAAACAGGAATAGATCCTATAAACGACGCGCGTGAATTAACGTTGATCAATGAAACGTCTTTCGACAGTCTACATCTGGAACGGATTGAGGCATTATGTATTGATCGATATCCAAGTAAAATGTAATGAGAAATGTTATTGATCACATTCTCTCTATCGTTATTATATGACAATTAAAACATTTTTCTAAATTTTTCTGCCAAGTAATTTTGCCAAGTATTATTAAATTAGATTGTGTAAATTAAAAAAAATAAAATTATACGGTAAAAGTATCGATAAAATATTATATTAGTCTATAAAATCATACTGAAAGATGCAGAAATATATTGCAATATTTCTTCAATTAATATATAAATAATTTGGCAAAGAAACAATGGTAAAAATTGAAGCAATATTTATATTTCTAAGAGATTAGATTTTGTCTTGTTTATTTCATATCAATTCACAAGCATGTCAAAATTTTCATTATTACGTTATTTCTTAAGTGCAAGAAAAGGGATGTGCGTTTATTAAAATAATGATGTAAAATTTATGATTACATAACGATTCGATTTTTCACTTACATATGTCAGACTTATCTAAGAGATAATACGTAACAACAACAAATAACGATAACAACATTTACGTAAGAATTTGCGATAAGAAAACGTGAAAATATATGCATAAATGAAAGAAAAGAAGCACGCAGATACTTGAGAATAAATAAAAGACTCGAGAATAAAAACAGATACTTTAAATCAAATTAATTAATTCCACACAAGCTGCGTGCGTTACGTTAAAACGATTTATCTCTCAATCGTCCTCAATTATGCGAAACAGTCATTATCGCCGTGTAATACGCGGTCTCTCATTCTTCACCGGCGTAATTAATAATTAATGCACAAACGCTTGTGTACGTGCTCATGAGACGAATGTAATCGTGGGCGGAAGTCACTTTATACGGTAGCGCGAGCGGTTAATGCCTGCGGGGGCTGTTGGGCGTGTATTACAGGGGTGGATTTCGACGGTAGTCGCGGTAGCGACGGCGGTGGGTGCCATTAACAGTGTTTCGCCGGAAATGTAAAGCATAATGCGCCGGCAGCTCTCGTGGATATGGAACCTATTACCATTCGCGTGTATAATGCTACCTTTCCCCGTCCCGTTGCGTCTCGCTGTATTGTGTTTGCGGAATGTTCAAGAAGTGTTCGAACTTGTCCCGCGTAACTATGAAGGATACTGTTCCGTGAAGGCATCTCTTCGGATCCGCAAACGATCTCTGGTCGTACTTACAAAAGTTTCGAAGGGATTTCTCAATCTTTTTGCAAATTTTTTCTCATCTTTTTCTACTCTGAAAATAATATATCTTTAGCACTTTATATATTACCGCTGAGCACGGTAATATCGAAGTATTAACACTTACATCCTTAAATTTTAATTTATCTAAAAATTATTTAAATAATTATCCGTTGTATATAAAATTAAAATGCGAAAATAAAACGCTATTTTTATTTAATTAAAAATTCAAGATTTATTTGCAGTTTAATTATCAAAATATTTAATGCCAAAAAATAAAAAGATAATGTCTTGTCGAATAGTTGAAAGAAAAATGCAAGAGAAAAATTAATTATTGTACTTTATTTTCGAGATTAAATAATAAATGGTTCGGCAATCATCTTAAAGAAAAATTTAAGAAATACTTTTGCGTAATAATTTTTTTGATTTTGTCTTAACTCGGGATCCGAGGGAGCTTATCAAATCTAAATCGTACGTGACTATAAAAAGGAAGAACGCGGAAATCTCTCGGAAAGCCGCTGTTCTGATGGCGATTCCGCGCGAGGCAGAGTCGAGTTTGAGTTCACTAAATCGACAGCTTGGCGTCTTGCAAACAGAAGCGACGTGATCCTGTTTGCGCTCAGTCGGGCATAATCCGAGGTAATCCTCTTGCACAATATGCGAACGCGATGCTCCATCCACCCCCTCTCTCCCTCTCTCTCTCTTTCTCTTTCTCTTTCCCTCTCGCTGTGCATATACATACATAAACATGTACGTACCTTTCGCGCTTCTCTCGTTGGGCTTTTTTCCCTTTTCCAGTTGTATCTCATCTCCTCGACCTCTTCTTCGTGCAAGAAAGCGCTTCCTCTGTAGCAGCGCAAAGAGCATCCTGGATAATGAAAGGGAAAAAGGGGGAAGACTCTTACTGATGCATTGCTTCGCATTGAATCTCATTGCGATAACTTGTGGAAATGAATCGTATTATAAATTATTACGTAACTTTGATGCGAATTAATGAGCCTTGCGTAAACGTCGCAAGAAGGATTTCGTTCTCCGAAATGTTTTCCTTTTCCTATCTTTCACGAGAACGAGGAATAATTTACATATTAACATATATTATAAATAAATATCGCTATTATAATATTATTATTGCACTAATGAAATTGTATTATCAATATGCTCTATGAATCGTTATGATTCTTATTTTATCAGATATCTTCTTTTATTATAATTTCATGTTTTGTAATCATATTTAATAATCTTTTCTTTGTGTACTATGTTATTTGATTTTTATTTATTTATAATATATATAAAACATTAATATTCAACGCATACATTAAAGAAAGATTTACTTTGATTTAGTTAAAGTGTTCCTACATGAAGATTTAAGCTTCTTTCGCGGTTTGCTTTTCTTGCTATATTTCTTTTTGTTCTATGTATTTTATAGAACGTGATACAACTTGTACGCTTTCAGCTGACTAACAACTCTTTCCGACACTAATTATACGCGCTTAACTCCATTTTCATTCCCTCTAGCACTGCGAGCTTTCGCTTCACCCTCTTTTTTTTTGTTTGTAGTAGTGAAAGATACACGGAGAGTGTTACGTTTGCGAGTAGTTCACGTCTTCAACAAGTGCGAGCTTCGATAATTAAGACACTTTAGACAATGTTGCTTAAAACGATTACATGTGATTTTCGCAAGGATGATTTACATTATTATATTTGAAATTGTGTAATAAATAAAAATTAACTTGCATATACGCGATAACAGATTATTAACACAATTAAGAAATAGCTCATTTTAAAAATATTTTCTATAATCCTTTTTGCTATGTATACAAACGTTTCTATGTTATACATAAAAATTTATTAGCAATTTTGCCGTGAATCAAATTTCTGTTACGATAAATTTCGTTTAAAATTTTTTTTATTTTACAATTATAAATAAATATAAATTTTCTTAGCTTTATTAATTGAAATAATTATTTCGATTATTGTTTTTATTAATTTTAAATGATTATTTTCAATAATTTACATTTTAAATGCGTTTGTCAATGACTTAAAAGACATCTGGTGTTTTTTCGAGTTCTGTGTAATTATTTCTTTTTTTTGTGTGTTTTTTATAACGTAAAGTTAAAGCATATAAAGTTAAGGTATACCGGCTATAGATACACGTTGCGGTAGGATAGGAATCGTGCGTTTCGAGATAACACGGTGATAAAAGAGATCGGTGCGCGCTTATTTGCCCGTTCAAGGCGATCGCGACGACGCGTTCGCGATATGCAAATGACGCAGATTTACACAGGTGCCGCGAAATACGCACAATTTTCGAGTATACGGCGTCTAATTAAGGTACGACGAGGCAGTTTGGGTGGATCGTTAAAACTATCAAGTATCTCCGGTACGAACCGTGCATTATTTTTATTAATCACCTTATTAATTCCTTCCAAGAAAACGTTTCTCTATCATTCTCTGTGCATATATTTCGCATATGTATATATATCATTCCGCGAAGCTGCTCTTTTTTTTTTAATAGTGTTAATATTTATCACACGTCAAACGATTAATAGTTCAACCTTTCGAATGCGGGGAAGTTACTATTGTACAATAACGAAGTTTTTTTACTGGATATTTTTTTAACGATTTTAATTATGAATTTCAGTGAACGGAAGTGTTCAAAGGCCCGAAGATTCTGCCTTCGCAGCAGCTGGGCGCTGCGGTCGCTCCATGGCCGGGCGCCACCGGCCTCATAGCCTCCGTCACTGCTGACGACATGGCACACAAAGGTAAGCTTATCTCTCAAATATAATTATACAATTTTTATAATTAATTAATGAGTTTAAAATTGTGAATTTATTTCAACATCGATCTGCGCGCGAGAAATCATTTTACGAATTTATAAACAAAGATAATAATGGGCATTATAAAAAAACATATGTAAGCACTGTAAAAACGATATTATGAGGTATCTTAAATATAATTAAAATTGACGGATAGATTATTCTAATTTATGTTAATTAATTAATCTTTTCGAAAGTTTTCATTTTTAAACTCTTGGCATGGCTTTGTACATATATATTTATAGATACATGCGCGTAAATAATTCTGTCAAATTTTCAGTTCGTAGCTTTTAACTTTTAATTCTCAATTTTAAAATATATAGATTAATAAACTACCTCACACACACACACACTTATAAATTGAAACGATGATTAAATTTTATAGAGAATTCAGATTGACTTAAAGCGAGATAAAAGTCCGAATAAATCAATGTCTTCAAAAAATTGCGTGATAAGAAAATTATACAGATTTATAGTGATGGGCCTAAAGTGTATCGAAAGATTTTCGAACATCCTTTTTTATGTGTATCGAAAGATTTTCGAACATCCTTTTTTATGAGCCTCAATCATAAGTCATTTTTCAATTCGATATCCCATTACGACAGCCCATCAGAAGAACGATTATGGTAAAATCTTTATGTGAGGAACTGCGCTTCAGAAGCATAAAATTTAACGATTCTGATCAATGATTATGAAATGTTGATGGCACGTAATGGCCACATGCGACGAAATTTCTTTCTTCAATTAAGCAGCTTTGCATTAATATTGCCAATGCGAAGTATACAATTGTGTACTTTTCTATTTAATTCAAAGATATAATTTTTTTAGTAATACTTGCTACTTGTCTAGAAAAAGCGCTCGTAAATTTCGAAAGTTATCGAGAATTATTTCTATCATTTCTTTAACGGTCTAAACCTTCGTGAAGAATCCGCGGTTCTAACTTAAATGAGAAAATCTTAATTCTAATTTAAATTCTTGAAATAACTATTCAAAGTGTATATTAAAATACGCATAGATAATGGTTAATGATGATGATTAATGATGATAGTTTCATGAAATGATTTCTCTTGTAGCGATTTTGCGTGCATTTTCTATTAATTCGCGGGACAGTCTCGATGAACGTAAACTATGTTCGGAGATATTACGGATAATTCGAATTCTAACTCCGGACGAATCGAAACGTCCGAGAATCAAGAGGGTGGCGTTCGGTTGATGGCTAAGGCGTTTAACCCCATTAGTCCTGAATGGAACTCTCCTTCCTTCTCTCTATCTCTTTCTCTCTCTCTCTCTTTCTCCCACCCTCTTTTCTCTCCTCCTTCCTCCTCCTCTCTCTCTCTTCTTTCTCTCTTCCTTTAACTTTCTGTCACTCGCTTCCTTCGCTCTCGCCTGTTCGAGCTCTCTTAACACAAGGGTCCGAAGAGGATGGGCAGACGACGTCTCAAGGCTTTCTAAAGCCGGCAACTTCTGCCTGAAACTGGCTGCTCACTTCACGTATTGATTTCCATTCTCTTACGCCTTCCAGCGCTCCTCGCCACGTCCTCCGAATCCTCCGTTCCTTCCGCGGGATCTTCCATACCTCCGCCGATCATAATTTCTGTCCTTTGACAACCTCTCGGTGGTAGCTATCGTATAATTAAACTAAAACGCTAGGCTAAAGAGAAGCTCTCAAACGCGGTATCTTTATCAGATAATTTTCATACCTCACCTATTTAATTCTACATTTTGTTATATTTGTCTCTCTCCGGATATCATAATATATAAATCTTTGAATATATTGAAATAGAATATTTACGGTTATTTAGAATATCAATGGTTCTCTCGAATATACAAATAAACTTTTATGCATTAATCAAAATTAGAGTAGACTAATCATGATTGTTTTTTTAATTAATTAAATCTCTAACGTTATTCTTTAAATCTCTTTTAGCAAACAGAGAACAATTAAGAATAAACTATATATATATATATATATATATATATATATATTTTAGGTTACTTGTTATTGTTATTGTGAAAATTTGAATAATTTAAAATGTTTTCATAGACAAATTTTCAAGAAAATAATTAGAACTCTTTTCTCGTATTTCGATGCTGTTTCCGCTGTGGGCGAGTAAAGAGATAATAAGTTGTTATTAAATTATCGAAAGAAGCATAATATTATTATGCCAGCAAATAATATAAATGTACGGAAATTGACTGAAAATAATTGCCCTTCTTCGTAAGAGACGTGTAACAAATATACGTTCCAACAAGCTTGACACACGTACAAGCACAATTGGAATTTTCTTTGGCGCAAGGAATTCCCGCGAAGATTTTCAGCGCGAGCGGTAGCGCGGATTAAACGCCGCGGCGCTCGACGACGGAATCCACAAGTGAGGAGGCGATCGGCGGAATCTGCAGGGTGCTCGAAAATCCACGAGTTATCTGACCGAGTGCGGCTCAGTGGGGTGTGTAGCGTTAAGTTGGCGTTAGCTCATCGAATCACCCCGAATAGAGCGACCGCCGTCGCGGCAGTGCCAAGAGACGAAGGCTTGTTTTGATCGATCGCACGTACAAATCGTATTTCCGACTTCGCCTCGCACAGGCGATGACAAATCCGTCCTTCCTTATTCCCCTGCGCGGAGCCGCGCGCGAAAGAGCTACGAATTATTGCTCGTAGAAACTGTCTTGCCTTAACCCTCGTGCCTGTTTTACGCCGAGCTTCAAGTAATAAATTAGGTGCTTTCCTTTTCCATTATTTTTCGTTGAGAAAGGTGAGCGGGTAACTTGTCGCTTGTCTTGCCTCCTTATTTCGTGTAATTACAGCGATTAGCGTAACGTGTAAAATTGCTTTTCTGTAAAATTCGGAGCTTCGTATACTTATTTCTAACAATAGAACGTTTGAGATTATGTAATATGTTTATGTTATTATGGCAATGCATAAAACGAATGTTGATTATTTATCTCATAAAATCATCAGAGCAAGCAAAATCGGAGCTGTGAAGTGTTAGTAATTAGAATTGCGTGGGCAGAAAGCGTTTTTATTACGCTAATTTGATTTTTCTCCGGGCATTAACGTTAAACGGAAGTATTATTTTTACTTTAGTGGAAATTATTACATTAGTGAATGTAATAAAAATAATTTTTGTATATACATGTTCCGAAAATAAATGGTTAAAAGCAGACTCGAATAATTTTTAAATGTATCACAGTTTTTATTGTATTATGAAATTGATCATATTTGAATTGTTATATATAATTTGGTTTACTGAAATAGAATTTACTCTTTCATTCAAATCATACGTTTTATTAATATACATCATGTAATTCAAATCTAGTCGCAAACTTGGGGATTTTCTGCAAATAAAAATGGGATAGAAATAAATCTTCAATTTATAAACAATTTAATTATTTCATAATTTTGTAAATAAGATAAAAAAGTTTTATCATTCTCTCTTAGTGATTATTTTATACATATTCGTTGCATTAAAAAATTATTCGTGAAATATTTCTACATCGTTTTATATAGAGACAATTTCGCCGAAAAATCGTTAAACATTCTTCATAAATTTTTCAGTCACATATTTGCGAGTAAGTTTTGCAGAATTGCAAAGCCGATCGACGACATTTCCGGTGTGAAATATCTATGAGATAGTATTTAACAAAGTTTTCACGATTGTTGGGAGGGTTAACGCTTCAAACGACGTTCTGCAGCTTTCGAACTAACGATGGTCTCTTAACCGTAATTCCTGACGAGAGTTTCCAAAGTTTGGCAAATCGTCGCGTTTCCGCACATTTGTCCTGCTCCGTCGCGTAAAATGAGGAGGCGCATCTCGTAGTTGTCGCGAGTAATCGCACGAATAACTTAGCGACCACATTTCCAAAATAACGCTCGTACTTGTTTCATATTTTCTTTTTATTTATCGCGAATAATTCTTGCTTCTTTTCATATCCAATGTATGTAAAAATAATTTAATTGACATTAATCAAATAACTTCTTCGAGAGAGCAAATTTGGATCATAGACAATGTTTATTTGAATTATACGGAGACTAATAATAATTAAAAAATTATAAAGATTTTATTACGATTCGACGCTATACATATTTTATTTATTAGTATATTAATATACATGAATGTTTTGTTCAATCTTTTATAATTTCCTATATGTTTACATATTAATAATGATCGGTAGAATTTTTCTCCGTATATATCAAAGTATCGTTCGAATTTCCATTAGAAAAACCATTCGACGACTTTTCGCGCGGCAGGTGGCAGGGGGCGATGTCTTCTGAAGAAATCCGGAAGTTTGGCAAATCGTTCGACCTCCGCTTTACCGCGTCGAGTCGGCTGTCAGCGCGACATTTCGCCGACGACGAATCAACCCCCCGTCGTGCAGAAGTTGCTCTTACGCATAAGGAACGACACGGCGAAATGAAGGGTAGCGCACGGGAGTAGCGAAATAAGAATAAGAAAGGATAGCGCCCGGCTCTTCTCTTCCTTCTCATTCTTTGTCGATAAGTGCAAAAAGCGAGTCAAGATAGAAAAAGACAAAAAAGAGGAGGGCGAGGAAGTGAAGGAAGAGGAGGCGGTGGAGGAGGAGATGGGGGAGGTGGCGGCGGGTTCTGAAGCATTGATCGTTTCTGAATTCCGAGTAGATGGCAACCCCCGGCGGTTCTTCACCCTCCGGCCTTTCTCCCTTGGAGTCTCGATATACGTACTCGTCTTTCGTATGTTGCTGCGGCGAAGAAGGAAGAGCAAAAATATGAAAACGTTGGAAAGACGGAGAGAGCAAGAAGGAGAGAGATAGAGAGCGAAAGATAGAAAGAAAGAGAAAAAAGAGCTACCCTCTTTAAAACGGTTCCCGTGCTCGTCCAAAACAGAAAACTCCTTCGCTTTTGATCCCGCTGCTTTCAAGCTTCGTCGACGACAGCTTGCACGGTTTGTATTCAATTAATTCAAGTAGTT